TTAACAAATATATATGTAGTTGTTTCTTCAATTTTTAAATTTAATGTATTTTTTTTTAAATTAAAATTAATTAAATAAAAGTGACTTTTCTAAAATGAAAATAGAAAAACTGAATCAAATTTTACAAACAAAAATTTTATTGTTAAATTTTCAGACTTATTGTAACTATGATTCTTTTTAAGTTATTAAGTGAATGTTGCGATAATTAGTTGATGCGATATTTTTTTTTTAATTTTAGATAAATTGAAACAAAATTAACAAATAAAGATCTAATTGTTTCTTTAATTTGCAAATACATTAAATTTTCAAATTGAAGAAATAATTATATATTTATTTGTTAATTTAATCTATGATTATTTTTTTTCAATTATTAAATAATAGTGACTTTTCTAACATGAAAATAGAAAAACTGAATTAAATTTAACAAACAAAAATCTAATTGATAAATTTGCAGACTTATTGAATATGTTTTTCTTTTCCATTATTAAGTAAAAGTAACATTTCTGAGATGAGATTAAAGGAATTGTAGTCCATTTGTAGTAGAAAATGCGATTATTTAAATTTTATTAAAACTAAACAAAATTTACTAGAGAAATCTGTTTGTTTTTTCCATCTATTAAACGTATTTTGTTTCAGTAATTAAGTAAAAGTAACATTTATGAGATGAGATTAAAGGAATTGAAGTCGATTTGTAAACGAGAGTGCGATTGGATTGATTCCCGCTGCTACTTACATATAATTGCAACATGTACTAGTTACTTAAGTTAATTGCTCGTGTACTTTAATGCAGGGTAGTTTCGTTGCGAGCAGAAGGATCCATCGGCCGGGCATAATTAATCTGCATGCGAGCGAAGGGATTCCGGATGGTCGTAAAGCAGATAATTACAGGATGTCTGAGGATCCCGAAGGACGATTAAAATGAGATGCGGATTTAAGGTCCGGATTTTCGAGCAATAGCAAAAAAAAAAAACGATGCGATCAAGATTAGCTTTGGATGATGGACGGACAACACCGCTAATGCATAATTCAATTCCGGTCGTCGATGTTAATTGACACGTGTTGGTTGTAATTAGGGGGTGGATTATGATAGAATCGAATTAGCTTCGTCCGGTGTCGGTGTTGCGCGCGGTCGTCCCGAGCTCTTCTCTTTCTGGATGGGAAATTGCACAGGAGATGGATAGATAAAGGGACGCGGATGGCGCAAGGATTTTCGTAGTGAATAGATGAGAGGAAAAAGAAATTGAAGATGAAAGAAAGAAAGAAAGAAAGAAAAACAAGAACGAGTCGGATATTTCCTTCAAACTGGAAACGATTCCGGTTCATCCTATCCGTGACAATTAAGCTCGAACCCGTAATAAACTTCGTCAGCTTAAAAAAGGGGAGCACTCCGTTTCATTTGGGGAAAACCCAATTTTTCTTTTTTTGGTGGAAGGTCCGTTACATTCTAACTTAATAGGAAGTATGCGAATGGAAAACTACGAATCGATTTACTTTGTTCATCAACATTTACAATTATTTTCATGATTATGTATAAGCACATATCAATATGAATTGAAAAAATTGTAATTGTTTTCCAACATCTCAAATAAAACAAAAGGCGTCCTGAAAAGTTGCAGTTCAATTGGGCCACCCTGTACATATTTATTGAAGTTTATGTAATTTGAATTCCACATTTTTCAAATTTTCCAAATAAGAAAATTGTAGTTCTCAAAATGCAGATAGATGGCAATACTAGTAAAAGAAATAATTCTTTGATTATTCACATATTTTTAATGCTAAAATATATCAAAAGTTGGCATCTTTTATTCAATTATCATCATCATTTAGTTTACAA